CTACTTGATATACAGAATAAGGACCCAAGAACAGATGTCTTGCTACTGTGCTCTTGCCACTTCCCTTAGGGAGGGTTTTCTACAAGGAGAGGCTTGCTGCTCAGGTTTGAGTAGAGAAGGGAGGGCCTTGTGGGAAAGATATATTCATCTGCCCAGGGCAGCTCTGAGGGCTGCAGGAAGGATAAGATGGCTTAGCCATTTGGCCTGAAGATGCAAACTACTTTCCTCACTGCTTTCCAAGAGCTGCCCCCCTGGGACCTGGGCAGAGTGTTTTGACTTTGGTCCTCTTCCTTTTGATATAAGCCTATGTGTCGTCTTCCCGACTGAGAGGTCTCCGGTCCTGATGTCTTTAGCAGCACCCTGTCTTCCTCATCTTGGAGCTATTGATTACTTTCTGCCTCGTGGGCCAAGTTCTACTTATTAAGTAACCACCTGTCCACTCAACTCCTCTGCTATTCTCTGGGTGCATTTGGAGTTACAATCACATCCCTCGGTCAGATTCTCAGTTCAGCCTGGCAATTTTATTTTAGAGACAAAGTCTTGCTTTGTTGCCAGGCTGAAGTGCAGTGGTGTAATCATAGCTCACTGCAGCCTTGAACTCCTGGGCTCAAGCAATCTTCTTGCCTCAGCTCCTGAGTAGCTGAACTCACAGGTGCGTGCACCATGCTCAGCTAATTTTTCTTTTTATTTGTAGAGATGGGTCTTGCTATGTTACTCAGCGCTGGTCTCAAACTCCTGGCCTCAAGTGATCCTTTACCTTGCCCTCCCCAAGTGCTGAGATTAATAGTCATGAGCCACTGTGCCTGGTGCAGCCTGGGAATATTAATAATCACAGTAATATAACTATTTAGTCGCACTTACTGTGTGCCAGGCCTTGTGCCAAATGCTGTATGTACAGGGATGATTTTCTTTTTTCTTTTTTGAGACGAGTCTCGCTTTGTTGCCCAGGCTAGAGTGAATGCTGTGGCGTCAGCCTAGCTCACAGCACTTCAAACTCCTGGGCTCAAGCAATCCTACTGCCTCAGCCTCCCGGGTAGCTGGGACTACAGGCATGCGCCACCATGCCCGGCTAATTTTTTCTATATATATTAGTTGGCCAATTAATTTCTTTCTATTTATAGTTGAGACGGGGTCTTGCTCTTGTTCAGGCTGGTTTCGAACTCCTGACCTTGAGTGATCTGCCCACCTTGGCCTCCCAGAGTGCTAGGATTACAGGCATGAGCCACCAAAAAAAAAAAAAAAGAAAGAAAGAAAGAGTGAATGTGACTGCATGTGTTCAACTTAGTGTAGGGCCTGGAACACGGTGGAAGTAGGGAAGGGGGTGGAGGAGAGAACTGGGAGTCGCAGTCCACTTCATGCACAGGAAGGAAGCCTCTATGCTACAGTGCAGGGGCCCTCCCAGCTCTCCTCCCTGCGGGCCGTGGGTGCTGGGGCCTTGACCAAGGAGCGCTGCGAGAGCAGGGGCGTGTGCAGGGAATGCCAGAGCAGCTGAGGGCAGCACAAAGTCGGAGTGAGTTAGCACTGGTCCCAGGGGCTGCATGAGCAAGGCAGGCTTTTACAGAGATATCCAGGGAACAAGAAATACCAGCAAGGAAGTTGCCCCATTAATAAATAAGAAGGCGGGAAATTAATGATGGTCTGAAAATGGCTGAGCTACTGAACTCGTTCTTTAAATCTGTCTTTAACAAGAAAAATAAAGAAAAGAGATTTGGCCAATTAGGAGGTAATGAAGACATTGTAGAAATAGCACCTGACAAAAGTATGCATGGAGGGGGGTGCTGAATGAATATCCAATGGCCTTGACAACCCCCCCCAGAGACAGAAGAAGGGTGCCCATGGAGGGGTCTCCTACTTACAAGCATGGCCTGGGGAGTGATAGGAAAGGAACAGGATGGGGAGACTCTAATTTGGGCTTAGCTGATGCTTTTCCAGAGCCTGTAGTGAGCCAGGCAGGATGCTCCACCATCCACTGCTCTTGTGGAGGCTGGGGATGAAGGTGAGGAGTGCGGGGACAAAGGAGAGCCAGCAGGAGGGCAGGTGGAAGGAGAGAAGGGGTCAGAGAGGAGGGGTCCCTGAAGGAGGGGAAAGAGAAGGGCCCTGCTCAGCACTACAAAAGGTGAGGTCCCTGACATATTCGGGGAGGTCCCTTTTAGAGAGTTTATGCCTGGAAAAAAATAAGAGAAGGGAACAGAAGAGGAGGCATGGAAAGGAAGAAGACAAGAGGAGAGAACTGGGGCCCAGAAGAGGAGAGGGCAAGGGACTACATGGAAGAAGGGAAATTAGAGTCCGTGTTTAGACAGGGCCTGGGAAAGGAGCCGGTGTGGAGGGTGCTAGGGAAAAGGGTCATTCTGCTAAGTCCCAGACAAACGGTGCTGCTTGCCATCCTGACCTAGACCCAGCACTCCACTGGGGCCCAGGTGACCACCCTATGAGCAGAACAGCAGCCTTGAGGGTGTTTTTGTTGTTGCTGTTGCTGTTGTTGCTTTAAAACAGGTTCTCACTCTGTCACTTGGGTAGAGTGCAGTGGTGTTATCATAGCTCACAGCAACCACACACTCCTGGGCTCAAGTGATCCTCCTGCCTTATCTTCCCGAGTAGCTGGGACTACAGATGTGCTCTACAACGTCCAGCCAATATTTTCTATTTTTTGTAGAGATGGGGTCTTGCTTTTGCTCAGGCTGGTCTCAAATTCCTGACCTCAAGCGATCCTCCCGCCTCAGCCTCCCAGAGTGCTAGGATTACAGGCATGAGCCACCATACCCAGCCTAGCCTTGAAGTCTTAAGGAAAAGAGTAAGGGGGTACGACTGCAGGTCCAATCTAACCCCGGCCCCATCCCCTCTTATACACAAACAAACCCAAACCTCAAACTAGGAATGGGGTCCTGTGCTCCCTTAGCCCTCCCCATCCATTCCTAAGCCAGGCCCCATGGTCACCTGCAGCCCCTGGTTGCTGCTCCAAGGGCTGTCCCCAAGTCTGGCTCCAGGATTCAAACCAAAGTGTCTGGGTTATAATAGCACTGATGTGGTCTGCCTGGGGGGTCTGGGGGGTAGCAGGAGAAAGAGAGGGCAGCCAGACCCTCGTTAGAGGGTGTGAAGAGGACGCCACTGTAGGACAGCCCTGGCCTGATTTATCATCTTCAGAGCTGACAAGTGAGAGGGGTTAAGTAGCTAGTTAATGAAATCCGCAGATGCTGCTAAATGGGGGAGAGCTGGGAGCACCGAGACTGGAGAGGACATCAGGCAAGAGGCAGGCAGCAAGTTGGCCACTAAAGGAGATTCATCTGGAGGGGAGAGACGACTAGTCTATTCCAGCTTGCGGGGAAGTCCTGTCTTTGTCTCTGAAAGCCAGCATTGGCAAGCCAGGGAGAGAGAGATTAGATAGACAGCAGGGATGCAGGAAGAACCAAGGCCCCAAGCCAGGGATGTCCCAGACTTCACAGCCCTTGCCCGATCCTGGTGGCTTCATCGAACACCGGGCAGCCCCTGAGCCCCAAGACAAGGAGGCAACAGCCCAGGCTCTGCCATCTCTTCCCCCAGACTGAGTAGTGAAACAAGAACTACAGTTCTTGGTGATAAGTGCTGTTGAGCAACACAAAGGAGGGAGCAATTAATTCTGACAGGGGAGGCCAGGGAGGTCAGGATGACATTAAAGCAAGGCTTGAAAAATAAGGATTTTACTAGGCAGAAAAGGAAAAAGGGGATTCTGGGTGGAAGGAACAGCATGAGCCAGGCAGGAAAGGCACCAGGGAAGCTGACAGAGAGGAGCTGGCCAGTGGAAAGGTCTGTTCGGATGCAGGAAGCCGCCAGAAGCAAGAGGCGCCAAGCTGCAGGTGCAGGTCCATACAGTCTGACTGTGCAGGACAGGAAGGGCGGGGCAGCAGAATCCTCTCTGAAGAGCTGCTCCTGCATGCTAATGCATGTCTAACTCCAGCACTAGATCAGGGACCACATATAGGGTTGCCACAAGGGTTAAAGAAAATCATCCCTGGGCCAGGCGGGTGGCTCATGCCTGTAATCCTAGCACTCTGGGAGGCCAAGGTGGGCAGATCACTCAAGGTCAGGAGTTCGAAACCAGCCTGAACAAGAGCAAGACCCCGTCTCAACTATAAATAGAAAGAAATTAATTGGCCAACTAATATATTAAAATTAGCCGGGCATGGTGGCGCATGCCTGTAGTCCAGCTACCCGGAGGCTGAGGCAGTGGATTGCTTGAGCCCAGGAGTTTGAAGTTGCTGTGAGCTAGGCTGACGCCACAGCACTCACTCTAGCCTGGGCAACAAAGCGAGACTCTGTCTCAAAAAAGAAAAAAGAAAATCATCCCTGTACATACAGCATTTGGCACAAGGCCTGGCACACAGTAAGTGCTGACTAAATATAAGTTATTATTACTGTGGTTATTAATATTCCCAGGCTGCACCAGGCACAGTGGCTCATGACTATAATCTCAGCACTTTGGGAGGCCAAGGTAGGAGGATCACTTGAGGCCAGGAGTTTGAGACCAGCCTGAGTAACATAGCAAGACCCCATCTCTACAAAATAAAAAAGAAAAATTAGCTGAGCATGGTGGCACGCACCTGTAGTTCCAGCTACTCAGGAGGCTGAGGCAAGAAGATTGCTTGAGCCCAGGAGTTCAAGGCTGCAGTGAGCTATGATTACACCACTGCACTTCAGCCTGGGCAACAAAGCAAGACTTTGTCTCTAAAAATAAAATTGCCAAGCTGAACTGAGAAATCTGACCAGGGATCTGATTGTAACTCCAAATGCACCCAGAGAATAGCAGAGGATTGAGTGGACAGGTGGTTACTTAATAAGTAGAACTTGGGCCCACGAGGCAGAAAGTAATCAATAGCTCCAATGATGAGGAAGACAGGGTGCTGCTAAGACATCAGGGACCGGAGACCTCTGAGTCGGGGAAGACTGACACATAGGCTTATATCAAAAGGAATTTTGAGGACCAAACTGTCAACACTTCTGCCCAGGTCCCAGGGGGGCAGTTCTTGGAAAGCAGTGATGGAAAGTAGTTTGCATCTTCAGGCCAAATGGCTAAGCCATCTTATCCTTCCTGCAGCCCTCAGAGCTGCCCTGGGCAGATGAATATATCCTTTCCCACAAAGGCCCTCCCTTCTCTACTCAAACCTGAGCAGCAAGCCTCTCCTTGTAGGAAAACCCTCCCTAAGGGAAGTGGCAAGAGCACAGTAGCAAGACATCTGTCTTGGTCCTTTTTATTCTATATCAAGTAGGTATTCAGTGAATGTTTGTCAGATAAAGGGCTGAATAAACTAGGAAAAATCTGGAAGCTCTTCAGCATAGCACAGCACAGCCATGGCTAAAAAAAAGTCTCCCCTATTCCCCATCACACACACTCACACACACACACACACACCTCTCCTCATTCTTTCTCACAGCAGCTGGCAGGAAGAGAATAGATAAGTAATGGTGTGGTTGTTTAAAGAATAGACTTTGGAGTCAGACAGTCCTGGGATTCAGACTTTGTTCCACTACTCACCAACTCCAGGCTCCTAAGAAAGTTACTTAACCTAAGTCTCAGTTTCCTCTTACATAAAATGGGTATTATAATAATACCTATCTCATAGGTTTTGTGGATTAAAGTATAATACATGTAAAGGGCCTAGAATAGCTCCTGGCACACAGAAAGTAACTGTTATACAGATACATCGGGATTCAGTAAAATGAAAACAGTAAATATCTTAATTCTCCCCTCATCTCCACTGTGTCCCTCCAAACCTTCCCTGTGGGCCTGCACTCTCTCTGCCCCTGTGTGATTTTTGATGCAGGTCTTTTATCTCTGTTCTTTAATAAATGCTGGGTTCTGAGACCTACGACATAAGGGCGGGCAGGCCAGTAACAATCCATGCTAAGATGAAACTGACACATGTGAGGTTGAGCATGAGCAGGTCCAGAGGGCACAAGCAAGCTGCAGAGCAGGGACCCCAGACCCCATGTCATCTACAGCTGCTGCGCCAGAGCTGCTCCTCTGCTCCCATGTGGGCTGTGTGAAGGAATGCCTTCTAGCCAGGGAATGGGAGGTAAAGCCCTGCTTTGACTTATGGATGGGTTGACTCAGTATGACATTACAGGCTAAAAGTGGACAGTGGCTGCACCAAAGGACAGTGGTGAGGGAAAATCCTCCTATTGGGGAAAGCACAGTCATGCACTTTGTGTGAAGAGAGAAGTGTTTCAAGCTTAGCATATAGGTGGACTCATGGGCAGTGGTTGATGACTGGCTGGCTGGTCAACAGCCTGGGAAGAGCAAGATTGATCACAGGGTAGTGGCAGGTGATGGACATATGAGAATGGGCACAAAATGTGAAGATCTCTGGACATGTTAATGCCCACCAGAGAGCATCCACCATGGGAGAGGCACTAAACCATTAAGTAAACAAAATGACTCAGCCAGTTGACATCAGCCAGCCTCTGTTGTTGGCTACCCTGGGATGTTGGCACAATGAATGCATAGATGAAGAAGCCATGATGGCAGGGATGGATGGAAGTTACGCATGGACCCAACAGCACAGATTCCCACTCACCAAGGGTGATCTAGCTACTGCTACTGCAGAATGTTCAACCTACCAGTAACTTAGACCAGTCCTGAGCTCCAATTATGGCACCATTCATTGAGGAGATCAACTGGTCCCTTGTTGGCAAGTTAATTATTTGGGGCCCTTTCCATCCTAGAAGTTTCAGAAATTCATTTTGACAGTAATAAATCCATATTCTGGTTATAGGTTTGCTTTTTCTACCTAAAGAGCTTTGGCTAGCACCACTAACTGAAGGTTTACATAGTATGTGATCCACCAGCATAGGATCTCATATAATAACTGCCATGTCAGACCAAGGGACCTACTTTACAGCAAAGGAGGTGCAAGAGTAAGCCCATGACATGGGATCCATTGGTCATATCACATACTACAGCACCCAGAAACTGCCAGCCTAAAAGAGAAATTAAATGTTGAAGACACAGCTGAAACACCAGGTAGGAGGTGATATTTTATGAGAATAGGGCACCATCTTCCTGGATACTAGCTCTCAATTGTGGGTAGTTTTGTTCCCCAGGGGACACTTGGCAATGTCTTAAAATATTTTTGATTGTCATGAGTAGGAGGTGGCATCTAGTAGGGAGAGGCCACAGCTGTGCATTCTACACATAGGACAGCACCCCCACACACACATCAACAAGGAATTATTCAGTCCCAAATGTCAACAGTGCCAAGGTTGAGAAACTCTGTTCTAGGACACAGTATACACTTTAAGTCAAAGGCCTTTGTATGGAGATGCATCCCCAACTGGGTCCAGGAACCAATGGGTAGGAGCAGGAGTGGCCCCTTTTTTACCATCACTCCTAGTGACCCACTTGTGGAAGTTGTGTGACTCTGGGCTTTGCAAATTTAGAGAAGCTCGTTCCCGAAGAGGAAACACTTCTGTTGGGAGTCACAGCCAGAGTCCCATTGATCTATATTATATAGCCATGGCCCAGGTTCTTTAAGTTCTTCATGCCAAGGGACCAATAGGCAAGAAGAAAAGTCACCTGTCATGGCAGAGATCATTGAGTCTGATATCAGGAGGCAGTAGGGCTACTGTCACACAATGGACAGATCCAGGAGTGACCCACTTGGCACTTGGGCATCTATTGTACTCCCTTCCTATTTTGATAATGCATGGACAAGAGCAACAACCCCAGTCTGAGAAGGGCAGGGTGACCAGTCTGAGAACCTTTGGGGATGAGACTGTTGGCCATGCTACAGATCAAGCTACTAAGACCAACAAATGTGCTAGCAGAGGGTAAGGGGAATCTAGAATTGTTAGTAGAAAAGGAATATAATGAGTATAAGTTGTGGCCCCAGACCAGCTGCAACAATAGGGTCTGTAGCTCATTCTGAAAACCTTCCTCATCCAAATTTCCCCTAGAAAGAGAGGCCCACCAAAATCCTGGAGGAGATGCTCTTAGCACCTATATGAATAAGTGAATCCAAGTGGTAACAGGGGTAAATTGCAATAGATGCTGTGATCTGTTGCCTAGATCCACCTTCAGGACTGAAGGACCTATTCCTCCAGCTGCTGGGAGTGCTGCCTGCAGACAGCCCTCAACTGTTAGTCTTGTTGGAGGATTGCTGCGGCTAAAGAAAAATTCCTTTGGCCAACACGTCCTGCCTCCTTCTAGGGACAGTTCACATCCAATGACTGATCAACACTGGGATATAAAGATCCGGCTCCCTTGCCCAATATCCAGATAATTTTGAAAGAGCAACCCAGCTCCAGAGCTCCCTACAGGATTGGCTGAAGTCTTTGTTAGGACTGCATCACAGTGTAGCTTCCCCCTCTGCACACATCCTGCTTCCCTTCTCTTCCTTTTGTGTTGATCCCAAGAACACTCTCTAATAACCATCGTGCATGCTAATCTTTGTCTCAGAATCTCCTTCCTGGGGAACACAACCTATAACAGTCAATAAATAAAATAAGATCATTGCTATGGTCTGAATGTGTGTGCCCCCCCCAAATTCATGTGTCAAAACCTAATCCCCGACGTGAGGGTATTCAGAGGTGGGGTTTGGGGGAGGCAATTAGGACATGAGGGCTCTGGGAATGAGACTAGGACCCTATAAAAGAGATCCCAGAGAGATCGCTTGCCTCTTTCACCATGTGAAGACACAGCGACAAGATGGCTGTTCATCTACGAACCAGGAAATAGGTCTTCACCAGACACTGAATCTGCCAGCACCTTGATCTTGGACTTTCCAGCCTCCAAAACTGTGAGGAATAAATTTCTGTTGTTTATAAGCCATCTGGTCTATGGTATTTTGTTATAGCAGCCTAAATGTCATAGGAGTGTTGGGTGTATTAAATGAAACAATATATTAATACATAAAGTACTTTTCTCTATTGCCTGGTATGTGGTGATGCCTCAAATAACCTCATGATGTTATTTTTGTGAGACTCATGCTAATGGTGTTCTAGGCCAAATACTGATCTGAAAGACGGTGGTCATGTCTCACCCTCAACTGAGTGAAGCAGGGTCCAACCACAGCACATTTGCAGGGCTGTGGTCAACTAGCCAGACCCACTGTATTCCCAGTGCCCCCACCCACCTGGTTACAAGTAACCTAGAGTTTATGGGTCTTCCCGGCAACTATTGCTGACTTTGACAAAGAAAGCCACTATGAAGGGTGCACCCACCCCCCAAACCTTTCTGCATTCATAACAAATATATTAGTTACTGGGCAAGAAGATGTGAAACCCTCAATCTCCTAAAGTGAGGGAGTGTCCAGGAAGAGTATGGGGGTCAGGGGAGAGAGAATTAACCTACTCAAGAATTCTATAAGTTATAACTCAGTCTCTGTCCAAGACAATCTTAATGTATCCAGCATGGAGCGGCTGACTGGTCACCACCTCTAGGCACACAGGGATCAGTAAGATGGTCACAATGGAGACAGATGTCTGTGTGTTTGTGAATTCAGACATGTATGAGTTTGGGGGCTCATTCAGGGCAGGGGCGAGGCCTAGCCCTACACCCTCTTGAACCCCTCTTCAGGCTGGCACAGAGTGGGACTGAGAGCAGAGAGAGAGTGAGGCTCTTCTTTGGGACCTACTTAGCCAGGAAGGGCTCCCAATGGAGGAGATGACACTAAGTTTGGGGAAAGGAATGAGAGTGCCTGCCCTGGCTTGGGGTATGTCGAAGAGGCAGTGGGGAAGGAATAGAGAAAGCAGAGGGAAGATGGAGTCCTTGCTGCAGCTGAGCCCTCAGTAGACTGGGCAAGGAACCAGCACGGCTCCCCTTTCCGCCAGAGCACCCTGGTGGCCTGTGCTGTGGGCAGGAGCCTGAACACCTTTCCTTTAGGACTTTCTGGGACAACAAAGCTGGGCCTCCCAGTTCCCTCTGGGTGTTCCAGCTGTGACAAAGCCTACTGCGCTGGTGGGCACAGGAGCACCATGCAGCAGTGGCAACTCCCCCTGTTCTGTGCACAGCCCTTGGTGGCGCTAAGATGCACTTGCCAGGGAGAAGTTTTTATCCAAGAGACCAATTTTCTCTTTCCCCACTAATCTAGCTATGAATTTCCTTTGAGAAATGGCGCCGCGGGGACCACCAGGGGGCACTAGGGCCTCTAGGCACCAGGGGCCAAGGGAAATGAAATGCCCCAGCGTGGAGGCCCTGGGCCCAGGTGCTGAGCCCCAGCAGCAGTTCCTCCAGCAAGACCTTGGCGCTGCGGACCAGGGAGACTGCTCTGCCGGCTTATCTAATGAGAAACGAGAGGACTGGGCCAAAGAGCCCTATTTCTGTCCAGCCCTACACTACCTGCCATAAAATTAAATGATCACAATGAGTACATTAATTACCTGACACAAATGCTTTAACATAACAAAATTATTAGCCATTCTAGATTTAGTGTTTGTACAGCACTTTATATTTGCAAGGGCGTTGCAATAACTTACCCTGCTGAGGGTGGGTTTCGGGCCCTGAATGACATCCTAAACGGTTTCTTCTGGCCAGCCAGCTGTCTGGCCTCTGCCACAGCTGGTCCTCTGTCCCTCTTGCCTTCACCGACTGCTTTTTTTCTCCAGCTGCCACCTTGCGTCTCCTCTTGGCAGTCCCTTCGTCTGTTCGCCAAATCCCTTTTACCTCAGAGCCATGAGACAACGTCTTCACTTGTACCCAGGTCACCTAACCGACCCTGCATCAGAATTAAAGGGCTCAAGGGCAGCAGCCCTGCAAGGGATTGGCCTTGGTGCCCAGCTAGTCTGTCTCCTGTTCTGCTGGCTGTACCTCTAAGCAGGGACACGTGCTGGGCTCAGCACATAGTAGGAGCTCCATGTTTGGGGCCTGCATTGCTCAAACTCCACAGGAATTCTCTGCACGTCCTGCCGAGTCACTTGCGGGGCATTCACTGCACCCAGACCAGAGCAAGCCCTGGGCCCTTGGGGCGCACGGCGCTGAGGAGACTCACCACCGTGTAGACCCAGTTCCAGACTGCACGGGATGTCCTAGGAGACCTTACTAGTAAATCTTGTTGCAGTTGGCTTGGGTGTGAAGTCTGCTTCCCAGGCAGAGAGATCAAACGCCCAGTTGATGGATGTCTGTGTACCCAGCTCTCCTTGCTTGCTTTCATCTTCCTTCCAGAAAGAGGAGTAAACATTCAACTAGTGAGCACTGCAGGTGTTCCCTTAAGGAGTGGAAAGGAATATCACTGATAGCAGTTGAGACCACCAATGAAGGTGTCCATGAGGACACCAAATGCCTCAAGGAGGATCAAAATGAAGGATATTTGCTGCAGCAGTTCCAGAATTTCTAGGTAGAAGGGTCTTTGGGGCAGCAGCAAGTTGGCTGGAAGGCAGCTGGGGAGACTCACCTCAAAGCTGCATCTGTACAGTGTGTATGATATAGATCAAAGTTTCCTACCATGCTTTTCGTCATACTTTATGAAAGCTGAGAAAACATCAGTTTTCTATATAAAGTTTATCATGTGCATAGCACAGTGAAGAGCAGAACAATGGAGCTGGATTTCTTGGGTTCAAATGTCACTGTCACCACTTACCAGCTGGGTAACTTCAAGCAAGGACTTTAGCTTCTCTGTGGCTCAGTTTCCTCATCTATAAAGTGTGGATAACTATAATATCTACCCCAGAATTGCTGTAAGGACTAAATGAGTTAATCTAGCTACTGTTATTTTTGGGGGAGACTTGGGAGGCCCTGGGCGGTGACTATGGCACCCACACTGGGCATTTGGGAGTAAATTTTCAACTCCTTCAAAGTGAGGGAAAGGGGAGAGGGACTCAAGATTTAGGCTTGGAGCGATGTGTATGGTGGGGTGTTGAGGAGACTCCTAGTATAAAGTCCAGAGAATTTCACCTCCAAAGCGGTCATGGAAGGAAAAGGGCTGAGTTCCAGGTGACCAAAGACCCTTAGCTTTTCTGTGTGCATTAAGTTGGGGTTGGGGGCTACTTGACACCCCCTTTGACTGGACTAGATGTTGCACTAACAGTCGTGGGGAGAATGGCACATTCTCTTACTTTTCCGAGCATAATCTGGAGGCACCTGTAGAAAGGGATGGGGGCCCCTGCACCCCTATACCCACCTGGGCCAGAGCCCTCACACAGAGGACGTGCTCTCTGGACCAGGCAAGGACCCCTCAGGCAAATCAGAAGATACCTGGGCTGGAGGGCTGGCTTCTTCCTGCCCTCCCTCTTGCCCTCCGGGATTTTGGCCTCCTAGAGACTCTGGAACAGTAACCACACCAGGGAAGGGAACATCCAGGTCCTTGGCCCTGACCCAAAGGGGAAATGGAATAGAGGTGAGCTGGGCATTCGAGGAAACCTGGCCTCTGGCTAGGTCCCAGTACACCCCAGGCCCATGGGCTGGCGGGCCATGGGCACCTGACCCCACATTGCCTTCTTCAGTGAACGAGAGGCTCTCATAAGGTCCTGCTGAAAGCCTCTTCCATCAGTGAGCACATTTGGGATTCTCTTCTTGTGGTGGCTACCAGGAAGAGAGAGCAGAGCTGAGCTCTATGGTTTTGCTATGACTCTTCTAGGCTCTGAGAGCTTAAGATTGAGGTGACCACTCCAAGCCCCCAGCTGCTCCTCCATGCTCCAGACTCAGAGTAGGCTCCCCCACCATGCCAGTGAGCACAGAGACCTGGAGGTCGCCCCCGGCCAAGGATGTACGTATCTCTTCCTCGAACAGCATTTTCAGGAAGACTCTGGATGAAGAATTATAAAGCAGACTGGAAAACTTCTGGCCTTGTTACTTGAGGCAATCTTCTACTCTAGGGAGTCTTCAAAGATGATTCCTTAGGTCAGGAAGCAAATACTAGAACTATAATTTATATGTATTTTTAATGTAAAAAAAATTGGATTTTACTGATAGTTAACATACACATTTAGACAGGCACTCTCACTTGGTAATTCATTGTAGGGCAGTGGTCCCCAACCTTTTTGGCACCACGGAGTGGTTTCATGAAAGACGATTTTTCCATGGACTGGGTGTGGGGGGGATGGTTTTGGGGTGACTCAAGAGCATTACATTTATTGTGCACTTTATTTCTATTATTATTATAACACATTGTCACTTGTCATTCACTGATAAGGTTTTGATATGAGTCTGCAAGCAATTGATTTATTATGATCTCTGTACAGTCAAACCTCTCTGCTAATGATAATCTGTATTGGCAGCTGCTCCCCAGCACTAGCATCACCGCCTCGGCTCCACTCAGATCATCAGGCATTAGATTCTCATAAGGAGTGTGCAGCCTAGATCTCTTGCATGTGCAGTTTGCAGTAGGATATACACTCCCATGAGAATCTAAGGCCGCCTCCACTAAGCTGACAGGAGGCGGGGCTCAGATGGTGATGCGAGTGATGGGGGGGCGGCAGTAAATACAGATGAAGCTTTGCTGGCTCCCAGGCTGTTGTGCGCCCCTTAACAGGCCACAGGCCGGTACCAGTCCACTGCCCTAGAGTTGGGGACCAAAG